AGTAGCAAAACATGGGCATGTTTCTCAAATGGATTTCACAGCATCAGTGCAAGAGCCGGAGGGGATGGCTTAGTTTTTTAAGCCTCAGATTTGAAATACCCAGACTCCCTGCAACTACAGCGTTTAAATCCTCTGTGGAACCACAGCTTCACATGCTATCAGGAGAGACTCAACTCTTCATCCCTCTGAGACTGATAAATTGAAAGCCATGAAGTTTGGAGGAAATGGAGGGTAGACTGCAGCCTCCTGCACCCGCCTCCTCACCCCACACAGGAAGACTCTATTTGTAACATCGCTTAATGTTCCATTTGAGGCTGTCTCCTTGGTAAGACTGGAGGATGATGTTCTTAAGACATTCGGAAATCTCACAACTCAGCAATGGACCATTTTTATAAACATTTAAACCAAATTCAGACGGCTCAAAGTTGACAGAAAACCTTATTTTTAATTCCCATTTAAGACAGTCAAGGAAATTCTAAGTATTTACTTTAAAATGCATTATAGGTATCTGGCCAACTCTTTATAATTCCTGTAGAAATTTCTGAATCACAAATTGATTTCTTTTCGTTGCTTTGTACATTTCTGGACCATCTCCTCCCTGACATCAATTAATGGATGCTGGGTAAATGCCAATTAAGCAAAGGAATTTTATTCAATCTGCACAGTACTTAACCTTTCTCTCACATCCCCACCCTCATTTGCAAAACTTTATAAGACAAAGTAGAACACTCTTATTTTCTCCTGGTTTCAGATAAAGAAAGAGTGCCTCAGGAAGATTAGATAAGTAAGCCACGGCTGATAGGTTGTTGTCCTATGTTTTTTAAAATCCACGTCTTCAGAATCTCCCTGAGAGTCTATTCTATCCTGTTGACAGTTTTACATAAGTTCTATTTAGCAACAAAAACATCTTACGAAAGAAAATTATGTAATGCAGTCTAAACTTAAATAAAAATAACATATAACTAATTCTTTTATCAGTAATACTACATATATCTGCTGGTATGTATAGTAAATGATTTAAGGAATGAAAAATTGGAAAGGATGCTGGGAAAACCCTGGACCATTTTTTTAAAGGTCTGCTATCTAATTAATCAATTGATGTCTCTTTTCATTTAAATTTACCCATTGGGTATTTTAATAGATGCTAAAAAGCCACCAAAAAGTCAGAGTCCTTTGAGGTGGCATATTAATTATTCTAAATACAAATACCCTTGGGGAAGCCGACCTATTGATACCCTTTTTCAGACATTCCCCCTATAGTATAATTTAGCTGTTTTCCTCCAACCAATAGATGAGTTGCATTTCTGCTGGGAATTTTGAGTTCAAGTGGGGAGAGAGCAGTATTGGGAAAAAAGGGTGGGCTTAGTGGAGGTGACCAAGTTCAGGCTCTTCTAGCCAAAAGAAACACAAATGACTTAATTACAAGGGAGGACCTACAGGTAGCAGTGGGCACTGAGACCAAATTTTCATGTATTGTGTTACAATATTTTTCTCTGAAGCCATGTCCTAGCTCCTGACATAGCAAAAAACTAAGGCTCAGTTCAGGTGCTAATGAAAATTAATTCAACGCACAATGTATGTTTTCCTTGCTTTCTTATCCTATATCACCCCCTCTTTTAAATTTCACATGGCGTTAGCTTATCCTGATTATACTAGCAGAAATAATTTGTTTCTCCTCCAAAATCCCACAGTAGAAATTTATAATACTTTTCTTCAATTGCATCTACCGTTACAATACTTCCCCACCTTGGGATACACTTTCCAGACTATCATCTGCTGTTTAAATTGTGTATTTGGTTTCGTAGCAATGAAGCCTTGAAGATTTTGAAAACCTCGCAACTCCCACCAAGTTAGTATTTTAAAAGTCTGGATAAATTTGTAAATGCTTGTCAAAATTATTTGATGATGAGGCTTCCTCTGGCAACAGAGTCCGGTATCCCAGAGCCCCAAAGGGATTACTGGTTCATGCCGACCCATGTGCCTAGACAACCGAACTGTCAAAATGAGCAATCTCTACCATGCGTGTTGCTAAAAACAAGGCAACAGGTCTAAAAATGAAGTTGCTTATGCTATGGCTTCTGTCACCAAACCAAGAATTAATTACAGTCTTGGCTCGTCCAGAAACAGAAACTTAAACCAGTCAATCAGGAACCTCCTGATCTGCACTAGTCAGGCATTCTGCCTGACTGTCCCCTGCCAACCCCCGAAAGGAAAGTAACCTTGGAGTAATTTACACACTTTTTCGCCCGCTCTAACTTTTCTTGTTCCCGCCCCATTCTCCCTATAGAAGTCTTTGACTCTGTACAGCCTCCTCTGAACTCCCTTCCATCTGCTAGATTGGATGCTGCCCAATTTGAATCAATTTTTGTCAAATGAACTCAAATTTTTCAATATGCCTCACTTTATCTTTTAACAGTTCTGGTGCCAGAAGAGAGAACAGAAGGAAGAGCAAGCAACCACGTGAAGGTACCCGTAAGTCCCCTGAGCTCTGCTGCTTTCCCGTGCCTCCGGAGGTGCTGGGGGGTCCTGTTGCATCCGCAGCTTTTGCGTTAGGAGCTTTCAGAAACTTCATTTGAGGTTTTCTTTTTCCGGGTCAGGTCCGACTTAGAAATTGGACCGGGTCTGACTTTGAAAGCAGGCTAGGTGCTCCTTAGAAACTGGACCGGTTTGATTTGGAAACTGGGCTGGGTCCTAAACTGGCCGTAGTAGGACTGGGTCTGGCTTAAGCTGGACTGGGTCCGGTGTGAGGCCTTGGGTGAATAAAATTTTGTTTTAAGGTTGAACAAGCAGGTTAAACTTAGCAAAAATAATCTTGAATTACAGCAGCTACAATGGAGAATTTTAAACCACTTTAGACAACCTAATGCATTTAGGAGTTGCCCTAGAAGAAAAGGGGTCTCAGCAAAGTACTATCATAAAGGGGGTAGGCAAGATAATTTTTCCTCCTCTATAGTTTCTGGGGGCCAGGAGGAGACCACCTGGGACACTCCCCCTGCAGCCTACTGACAGAATCTTCGGCAAATGGCAGAAGCTGGCAAATGGCAAGAATTCTTAACCAGTCTGCTTTCCCAGATCTCCATCTGTGGTGTCTGGTTGAGAGAGGAAGGTAAAATTCTACTTCGTCCCTTCCTTTCCAAATTCAGAGTGGCAGGCAAAAAAAAAAAAAAAAAAAAAAAAAAAAAAAAAAACATTTCAAGAATTAGATCTTTGAATTGTGACACATGAATTTGCTTTCAGGTACCCACTGACTGTCAATCCTTTCTCTCCTGGGTACAGCTGCTGCCTTCTCATTTGTCTCACTTTGTGTCTTGAGAACTTGGCTTGGCACCTGTCGGGTTTGGGCCCCCAAAATATGGCTATGCAGAAATGCAGGTTGCATGCCATTTGCACCTGTGGTCTTACTGGCTGTTGCCAGCTCTCAGGGAAATTGTCTTTCTCTCTTTCGGTTATCTTTGAGAGTGCCTCTGGATCTTGGGAGGGTAATATCTGTTGCACCGTTTTTGAGGACGCCCCTTATGTCTAAGGGATTGTTCAGTATGGTCAGGGGCATTTACTGTTTGTCTCAGCTGAGACCTCACAAGACATTCAAAAGGATTGTTTTTAATGTAGCTCTATGGTCAGAAGCTCTATGGTCAACGCGCATGGTAGAGATTGCTCATTTTGACAGTTCGGTTGTCTAGGCACATGGGTCGGCATGAACCAGTAATCCCTTTGGGGCTCTGGGATACCGGACTCTGTTGCCAGAGGAAGCCACATCATCAATATTATCAAATTGAAAATTGATAATCAGAGCTTGACAGGAAGTTTTTACACCGTCTCCCCTAAGCTAAAATGAAGCTATGGACCCCGAGGGAATGGAAAACAAGCTGAAGCTTTTGTAAGAAGGATTTATTAAAACACTGAAAAGACACACAGCCCTAAATCTAGAACACAGGAATGCTTTGATTTCCATCTCAGTTGAAAACAGTCTTCCTGATATAAAGATGCAAACTGAGGGTAAAAGAGTTGAATGGGGGAGGTGGGGTCAGCCCAACAACATCATCGGGATGCACCTCAGTTCTCTCAGGAATTAAATACAGCTGTAGCGTCTTCCAGATCAAGTCTTTACAAGAAATGCGGCTCTAGAAACAATTCAGAGGCCACCTATTCTTTTTATCAATCCCCCAAACCTCCCCTATTAGTTAAAAAGATGTAAGTAAACGTTCACAAAGGAAGTTTTCCACAATAGCCTGCATAGTGTATTTACTTAAAAATCGTTTTCAAAAAATCATTATTTGTCAGTCTCCATCCCACCTTTATTTCAAACACGTATTTAGCCCTGAAAGGTGTCAGGGACGAGGCAGAGGACGTTCCAGACGGAACCGTTCCTGCCCTGGAGCCCCAGGAGGGTGCGTGCCCTTCCCTGAGCCCCGCGGAGCCCGTGTCTGCTCTCCTTCCAGCTCCGGGATTCGTAATGAGAGCACATCCTGCGAAAAGCTGTGGCTGTAAGCAAGCATGCTTCACCCATACTGCATAACCACCCGAGGGCAGGGATCCCGGAGTACATTTTGAATTTGAAAATATGTCTACTTCAACTTTTCATTTAAAGGAAAATAAGCGAAAACCAAATGAAAATAGTCCCAGGGTCATGCAACCCAGGGCTGCATAATTTCACTCTAGGCTCAGTCTGCCTTTCACAACCGGGGAAAGCAATAATTCAGTTAACTGTTTAAAAAAAAAAAAAAAATCTGCGTACAACCTAAAGAGGCCCCCAGCACCGAGCCAAGACGCCCGCGGGCCACAAAGCGCCCACGGCTCCCGCGCTCCCAGGGCCCGAGGAGGCCAGGTCTCGCGAGAGTAGGGGGAGCACGGCCCGCGCTCCAAGGGAGACGCCGAGGCCGCGGACTGGGCGGGGCGCCGGGGGCTGGGCGGGGCGCCGAGGGGCTGGGCGGGGCGCCGAGGGGTTGGGCGGGGCGCCGGGGGGCTGGGCGGGGCGCCGAGGGGCTGGGCGGGGCGCCGAGGCCGCGGGCTGGGCGGGGCGCCGAGGATCACGAGTGCGCGAGCGCGGGCGGCCAGCTGAGCTGCGGCCCCGACTCTTCTCCGCGGGTGCGCGGCCATGCTACGGAAGTGGATCCTCTCTCGGCTTCTGGTGCCGCTCCTGCTCGGCCCAGGCCTCGTGCACAGCTCCAGCCCTCTGCCCCTGGTCCTCAACACTTGGCCTTTTAGGAATGCAACCGAAGCAGGTGCGGGGCGGCGGCCGGGGGCGGGGCCTGCGCTGCGGGGGCCGGCCCCTGTGCGGGTACGGGCGCCGGCGGGGCGGGCTGGCGCGGGCCTGGGCCGGCCCTTCCGCAGCCTCCTCTCCCAGGCCCTCCCGCCCCTGCTGCACCGCGGCGTCTCTTGCAGTGGACGCCGGGTCCCGCTTTCCACTGCTGCTTTTCAGAGCCTCTTCCCGTCACGATCCGCCCTCCGTTCAGCCCCGCGCCGCCTGGTTTTCCACCCTGTTGCTGACCAACAGCAGTTAGGGCCTTCTTGCTTAGACTCTTGCAGGGGCGCCTACGCTGTCTTACCTGACGTCCGTTCTCTCACGGGGGCTGTCTCTTGTCATCTCTCCATCCCGCTAAGCCCTCCGTTCTCCCCAGTACCCTGAACGCAACTGCAGTTTGCGAAAGGCTGCTGATTTCCCAAAGCATACATACTGTTTACGTTTACTTTGTCGTTACATGCTGACATTGTGTATTTGCCACCTGGAATACAGAGTTTCAATCGTGGTTGGCCTTTAAAATCATCTGTGGAGCTTCTTTAAGTACCCGTGCCCGAGCCCTGCCTCCTGAGATTTTCATTTAACTGCTGGAAAAAGGACCTCTGTGTTGTTGTTTTGTTTTGTTAAAGCTTTCTAAGTGATTTTGATTTGCCGCCAAGATTGAGAACCGCTTACCTGTCACCTCTTTCAGGAAGCCTTCCTTGATTTGCTGCCCTTATGCCCAGTGTGAATTAGATACCTATCTTCTGTGCTTTGATGCAATCCTGTACATACCATGATCTTGTCATTTTTTCATGTATTGTGTGTTTGTCTCATTCATTCCGAGACCTACTACCCCAAGCGTAATTTCAGACTCCTTCTCTCCCATCTGAGGCTGCTAATACAACTTATTGGGGCAGAATTGGCTCCGGAATTTGGTGGAGCTAAGTGTATGTTACAGGTGGTGCATAGGATTCAGAGTGAGCAAACAAGGCTGTGAGAAAGAGATTGCCAGCGATGAGGAGACAAAACAGGAAGTGCAGTGGCCAAGGCAGGGGACATATAAAGGCCGCCTGTAGTGAAAGGGGAACTTCTTGAAATACACTTTCAAGCCTGTAGGTCCAGTAGTAATACTTAAGATTACCAGTAATAGCACCTTCCCTTCACGGAATTCTATTTTTATTAATAAGACATTAGACCACCAAAGATCTTTTTTTTTTTTCCTTCTCAATGCATGGGACTCCAAAGAACAAAGTACTGCTAAAATCATGACCACTGGAGCCAAAATGGGCATTTGAATCCTGACTCTGCTACCTAACAGTTGTGTGATCTTGAACATGTTACTTAACCTCTCTGGGTCTGCTTCCTCCTATTTAAAATGAGGATAGTAATTGCACAATATTTACCTGAAAAGCTGTTGTGCAGATTAGTGGATGAAGCCATGCCTACCCACGTTGTCATTATTTGCTGTTAAGGTGTGGTTATTGAGACTTGCTGTGATTGATGTTACCTCAATAAAAGTACTAGTTGTATATATTTTTGATAATCTAGTGATGCAGAAGAAATTTATAAGACTGACTTAATGAATTTTCAATTTAACTGCCTTTTAGTGGCTTCACTTAGAAAATTGAAGGAGAGAAGACATTTCTTACACAGCATAGAAATATCAGCAAGTAAAAAACACCCCTCACTTTATATCAGTAGCCAAAGTCTTTAAATTCTTCACCGTAAATAGGTGCATTATACAACTTTGTCTACATCCCTCCTTTGTCATGCTTACTAAACTAAAATTCTGAATAACTTAGTGTAAATGTGAAATTTTTTTTATATGAGTTCTCAAAACGTTTCTGGTTTGTTGCATCTGGCACTAAAAAAAAAAATCAGTATATAAACCAGGATTTGATTAACAGCGTGGAGGACATTAGCATCTGGAGGTTCTACCCTGGATGCAGTTGAGCAGGGCTGTGCCGTGTGTGAGAGGGAGCAATGTGACGGCACTGTGGGCTTTGGAGGGAGTCCCGATGAGCTTGGAGAAACCACACTGGACGCCATGATCATGGACGGGTAAGAACATGATCAACCTTCTACTGAGAGCAAGACAGGCATGTGTAAGCTTTGTCAGGTGAAAACTCCTAGTTTATTGTACATGTCCTAAGAGAAAATCATCATTATAATAGAAATATCACATAGAAGTAGGTAGTCTCCTTGGAACACACAGAATCCCAAGCTATGAAAAGATGTCTGCCCTGGTAGATCATCATTGACCTGCCATCCCCATAAACGGTGGTTTGCATGACCCAAAGCCTTAAAACCACTTCTGGAAGCCACGTTTAAAATGAGTCAGGAGAAACTGAGAACGGCAGTACTGTTGGAGTATGTGGTAGATGGATTTGCTGTTTGTTCCTTAATCTGTCTGCTTGTGGGAATTCGAATGAACTTCATGCATGTGCCATCGTGTGTAATGTTAAGACGGTGGAATTTATCCTACAAAACTGTTGGCTCCAAGTAAACCAATACTGTTTTTATCTTTGAACCTGTGAAAGTACCTTAATCAATCGTATGCCTTTTTTTTTTTTTGCAGCACTACTATGAACGTAGGAGCGGTAGGAGATCTCAGGCGAATTAAAAACGCAATCGGTGTGGCTCGGAAAGTGCTAGAACATACAGCACACACGCTGTTAGTGGGAGAGTCAGGTATATTTTTACAACACCGAAGCTTTATCTAGCCCTCTGTCTCTGTTCCTCACTGTGAAAAAATAAAATTGATCAAAGCCGGCCCAAGTTCCAATTCCAGCCCTTTTACTTAATATCTATTTACTATCAGGTAAGTTACTAAACTTCTAAATTCACACTTTCTTCATGTTTAAAATAGGAAAAAATAACAATATGCTAAAGTTTTAAACATGGATAACATGGTGGAATGGATGCTAAGGTTTGGAGGGTAGAGACATTGCCTAGGGAAGCTAAATAAAACAGAAAAATTATGAGTGCTCAAAAAAAAAAAAGGATTTAAAAAACCTAGTTCCTTATCTATAGATAGGTAATTGCTGGACTGAAGAATGAGCCAGCAACACTTCTCCTCCTGAATTCATTGTATCAGGGTGAGACTGCAGAGCATTCTTCTCATCCAAAGACGGGCACCAGGGTATTGCTATGGCAGCATCACTTGCTTGAACGTCTTCCAAGTTATATACCAAAAATTGTACAGGGACCTATAATCAAAAATACTTTTGAATGATGAATTAGTTAATAACCCCACAGTTAAGCGTCCTTCAGTTTTGCCAAAAGATGGAATTAAAAACTGTCTGACAAGCTAAAAGATCTGTTACTCACACATGGAGTCTAGTTGGCTCTTTGTTTGGTGTCTCAGCGCTGGGCATTGCACCCTAGTTAGAACAGTAAGATTCTTGCTTAGTGAGCGGTGTGTGCAAGAAGGGAGATTGTGAAGGGGGATGGAAAAGAGAACTAATAACTGTCACAATATACACCCCAAGGGTCTCAAGCCGATCAGATTTAGGAATGACGTGGCACTTGAGATCTAGAAACTGATGTCCTTAAAACTGTTCGTGTCTGAATATTCTTCTCAAAGTCGTCGTGTGCCCCCTGGGATGGTGTACCCCACTTGAGAGACCGCTGACCAAGAACACTTCCTATATATGTATTTTATGTAGAAGACAATGCTTAACTAATCTTTTTCTTTTCTTCCTAATCTCCAGCCACCAAGTTTGCTGAAAGTATGGGGTTTATCAGTGAGGACTTATCTACCAATACTTCTCGAGCCCTTCATTCAGATTGGCTTGCTCGGAATTGCCAGCCAAATTACTGGAGGGTATGTAGACCCAATTTTTAAAAGTAAATCACTAGAAAATATGAAGCGACACCCCGTCTGCCCTTTGGTGGCTACCTGTTGCCTAAAGTGCTGTTTATCACCCTGGTTGCCCTCGAGAACCAACGATTTAAGTCGACTCTCTGGGTGTGGATGTTCCCGAACTCTCCTTAGCTGCTTCTCGTGCACGTACGTCAGTGGTGGAACACTCCTGGATCTTGGCAGCAGTTCTCAAATTGGGACGGCACTGATGTGGGCAAGAATGGGTGGCCTCAGTCAGAACAGCTCTGCTTGTATTTCCTTGCAACAGAAGGTTCCAAGTCTAAAAAAATCAGAGTTTGGAAACCATTTGTCTAAAATATTTCTTACATTTTTTTCTGTATGAAGTATACTCAGTAACTTGCCCTGTTGACTGGATCTATATTATTAGGTGGCTAGTATGTTAGTGGTGGGGTCATTTATCTTTAAATCAATGGGACTTTTAGCATAAATCTGTTTGTCTTTGCCATCCAGAACCCTTCTGTGGACTACCTTAGTCTCTCATCTGTTTCTTCTCCCAAATTGTAATTACTTTTGAGTAACCAGTGAGTCTCTGGGGTTAGCATTTGAAAGAGGCTAGTGTATAAAACTGGGTCAGGGGTGGGGGGGTCAGCAAGTGCACTAATGAGTAAGACCTGAGTAGTAGGTTTCCTGATTAAACACTAATCCATATGCACAACCTAAATTTATGAATTTGAATCCTTTTCTTGTATCTTTAAATCCATAGAGGAATCTGAGTACAACTTAGAATATGTTCGCATGAACCTAGCTTTGAAATAAAGAGGGTTTTAAAGTAGATTTTGCTTTAAAATCTCAGAATTCTTCTTTGGCCAGAAAACAAATTCTGAAATTTAAAGGTCAGGCTGTGTACCTAATTCCTTTGAGGATTAAGATCTAATACACAAATCTTCATCTCTGTCTGCCACTGTGCAGAGAACTTGAGCCATATAAAGAGAAAAATTAGGGATTTTTTCCAGACAGTATAGATGCCGATTCTATATTATGTAATTCTGACACTAGACTAGTATTAAATTAAATTATATCCATCCGTTCACATAAGACTTAGCTAATGTTTGGTTTTTAATTCATACTTTTCAGTTACCAGATATCCTTTGGGTTTCTTGCTAATGTTTCATCATTGTATGTGACTACTTGCCAGTTTCTAAAATGAACCTTCCTAAAAACTAAAACTTAAATCTTGTCCACAGAATGTTGTACCAGATGCTTCAAAATACTGTGGACCTTACAAACCACATAGTATCTTAAAGCAAGAAGGTCCTTCCCATAAAGAAACAGGAAATAACCACGGTCATGATACAATTGGTAATTTGCCTTTTATATAATTGTTACGGTTAAAGTTCAGCCATTTTTAATTGCCTTTCTGTAGTTCTTAACTTCTTCATCCTTATTTATGTGCCAGAAGGTGATTTTAACCACTTTCACTGCCAAGTAAGGCTGTACATACATATGTGGGTGGGCACAGGCGTGCGCGCGTGCACACACACACACATGGTTTCTTTCCATTGTATCTATATACATTTAGATAAATTACATAAGGCCCCTAAAATCTAGCGATTAGCCACTTACAGATTTTTAAAACTTTACTTGATACGTTGGGTTTTTTTTTTTTTTAGGTTTTTATGTATTCTTTTATTTAAGTAATCTCTATACCAACATAGGGCACAACCACGACCCTTGGATCGAGAATCATGTGCTCTTCTGACTGAGCTAGCCACGTGCCCCTGTTTGATATGTAGTTTTTTAATAATTTTATGTTGTTTGCCACATTAGAGCTGTCATGTTGAAAATTTCCATTATTCTGTGTCAATGACTTGCTCTGGAATTACCTTTGAAAGGTAACTGAGCAGTTGAAAGAGTAAGGATATAGAAAGTCTGCCAGATGATGCTATGACAGTGGGTTCTGAAACAGTACACATTAGGCAAGTGGTGTAATTTTCAGCATTCCTGAGCTTCCTATTTTCTTCTACCCAAAATTACTGAGTGAGGATATTTATATTACCAGCTGCTGAAGTATTTGTTTATATATTGAGGTAAACCTCAGAGCTGACACCTAGAGTGATTTTTTTTTTTTTTAACTTTTAGGCATGGTTGTAGTCCATAAGATGGGACGTACTGCTGCTGGTACATCTACAAATGGTTTAAAATTCAAAATACCTGGGTTAGTGTTTCTAAAAGAACAGATCTCGCAAATACACATTGAGTATAAACCAGCATGTGCAAGGTGCTAGTGAGAGATGCAAAATGTAAAGCACAACCCCACCCTTACTGCTGCGATAGATAAACGTGAAAGCAAATAATTATCTGCTAAGTGCCAAAGGCGTGGGCATTGCAGCTGGTGCCGTGGAGCTCAGGGATGGCAGTGGTGGGCTGAGTCAGCAGGGCAGTCAACTGGGGAAAGGCCAGCAGAGAGATGCTGGGGGCCGAGCTGGAGCCTCAGGGAGGGAAGGGAGCATCCAGGCTAAGGCACGCACCGACCCGGGGTAGCGCATGCTGGGTTCAGGGCTCCTGCCTGCTGGAAGAGAAATTGCATGAATGTCAGGTGCCCCAGGGGCGGGGCGGGGAGGTGGACCAGAGCCACACTGCAGGGGGTCCTGAGTCAGTTTAAGGATTTCTGGATTTTATTTTAAAGTAGTAAACACCCAAGGTTTATTACAAGGAAGAACCTTGGTAAAATTTTGGCACATGAGAGAAAACAAGAATAGACGGTAGCCGAGGAAAACGAATCAGAACCTATTGAGATAGTCCAGAAATGCGATGCCAAAGGATGGTCATAATTGAACAGTTACTAAATCTCTGACATCTTGACATCTAACTGGCTGGCATCGAATGCTTATATCATGAACTGAAGTGTATGGAAACCTTAGTTGAAAAACGAGTGAAAATCTTTGCCCTCTGTGTTCTGATGAAGACTTTACTTAGAACAATCATCAGTGGCTAAGTAGAAACATTCCCTGTTGTTGAATCATCTCCTAAAATACTGTGGCATTCACACTTGATCTCCTGTCCTGAATTTTTGTGCCATGCCCTCACAAAGTCGAGTAGGAGATTCGCCAATACCTGGAGCTGGCGCCTATGCGGATGACAGCGCGGGAACGGCTGCAGCCACTGGCGATGGGGATATACTGATGCGTTTTCTGCCCAGGTGTGACTCCTCCCATTTAGGACCCTTCGAGATCTTGACAGGAGATGGCGTCTGTCAAGACAGAAAATAACTGTTGGTGCCAGGCCATCTGATTTTGTGTGCACGAGAGCTTTCTAGAAATTCTGCTTCCATACCCTTCGCCTCTGTCATTTTCGATGGTGATAATTTAAGTCATCATCATCCTCTGAAATAGAATATTTCTTGCTTTACTTCCCAGATGAGAATACTTATGATGCATTTAAATAATTTGTGTAAGGCCACTGAGTAAAGGAACTGTGATAATTGATAAAAGTAGGAAAGACAGTCACTGTGTACAATGAATTCCTCGAAGACGACCATTACAGCTGGATGTCTTGCACATGCCCACCACTTCCCCCATTAATTGCAGCCCTATTTCTTATTTAAACATAACCTTTATTCTTTAGGACTTCTGGCTGTCATTCCTAAGTAACAGTTATCCAGCCAGAGCCAAAAAAAAACAGTCCTCATTTGAAATGAAGGGGTAGATAAGTTGAAAAGATAGACATTGTATCCAGGTTTACTTGCCTTCCCAATTGAAGTTAACAGGAGTTACTGACTTCTCTTAGGTATTTTATCAACTGTGACAATTCTGATGGTTTTAGGTTTCTAACTTCAAGTAACATATTTGGACTCTGTTGACTCTGTGATCCTAAAAACTCTGCCTCTGTTTAAATCAGCTACCAAGCTGTAGAATATATGAGAAGAGGAGAAGATCCAACCATAGCTTGCCAGAAAGTGATTTCCAGAATTCAGAAGTATTTTCCAAACTTCTTTGGGGCTGTTATATGTGCCAATGTGACTGGAAGTTATGGTAAGTTTTATTTGGAATTCGTACTTGCGTGAACTTGTAAATGTTATTGAAAACATATACTTTAAAATTTTGTAGTGTGATTTGCTCCTATACAGTGGAAACAGGGACTATGTCAAGTAGGCACTGAGTCACTGTTAATTGTTGATCTGTCAAGACCCCCAAGAGTGCTTAAATATACCTAAACCCCCGCCTCTGGCTGACTCTCGGTGCTCATGACCCAGTGTTTGGCTCCTAGTTCTTATCTCTGACATGGGTCCACCATGTATTCAGCTTCAGCTCTGGTGCCAGGTGACATGGACTTCTGTAGTCGAATGCTTTTATTAATTAGAGGTTGGTAGGGACAAATTATCTTCCCAGCTTCTTTCCCATTCATTATATTAATGTCTCAAGTCATTTAGATCTTCTTGGGGCTCCAAGGTACCAAACGTATTACTAATTAGTAAACCAAAGAAGTTGGCAGAATTATTTTTACACTGCATTCGAGGCATGTCCTTTACTTCATTTACTTTTCATATGAGCCTATCAGTTTCCAAGTGTTTCAAGATCAACCACTGCTGCTTCTCATTAGGGAATTTTCAGATGAGGAAGATATACAGCTTTACTGATCAATATAACGTATTAGGTTAGACTGCTTATTATTGTCCTTTGATCTTTTACTTCCCACAGTTCTGTATTTGAAAAACTTGTTTGAGGAATTCCTTATTCTTTTTTAAGTACTGAGATACCCAAGTCAATAAAAGTGATGGGGGGGGCAGGCTTTGTGTTTACAGTGAGTCAGTTAGATTGATTCCATCTTATGAAATAAACCTTAGAAGGCTCAAAGTTGGATTTAACAAGATGTAAAAATGACAATTACATAATTATAGATGAATTTAAAATTGACTGGCTCTCTAAAGCAATGGCGCTCTCTAAAGCAATGGCATTAGAAGGGGACCATGCAGGTGTTTGGGCAGGGGAAGAGACCCCCATTGCCATAGGTGGGGAGGGCATCAGGAAACTGGCTTCAGTTAGGGGAACTGGATTAGACACAGAGTATCTTGACAAAGAGCTCTTCCTGTGGGAGAAGAATAGAAAAGAACAGGGAGCAAGGGGAGGGGAGGGTTAGGGCTGAATCATGGGCATATCTTAGTGGCTAGGGAAATAAAATTTTGGGCACTTGCCTAAATAATTTTTCCCAAGAAAAGGATATGAAACCAGAGTAAAGTAATAGTCGTAAAAATATCATGTGTGTATACAAGCAGAAAATCGGCCTGTATTCTGAGCTTGAAGAGATGGCTTCCCCCCCACTGCCGCCATTCTTTCCTCTCATGGCCGGTCAGCTTATCAGGACTGAGCGTGCTTCTTCTGTGTGGCTCAGTTAACTTGGGGTCCACAACAGCCAGCAGCCAGGCAAAGCCACTGTGTCTGTATTGGTTGTAAAGATGTGCATCCTCTATTTACCCAGACAACTTTCTCTTTTCTTGGCCCCAGGTGCTGCTTGCGGTAAACTTCCCACATTTACTCAATTCAGTTTCATGGTTTATAGTTCTCTAAAAAATCAGCCAACTGAAGAAAAAGTAGACTGCATCTAATCCATCTTTTCCGTCCGCATCTATGTTTAAAGAGGAGAGAAACAAAGGCTGAAAAGGTTACTCACGGTTGTCGTATCCTATGCCTCATGCATTCTACCTTCTTTGTATAAATCAGCACAAAAATAAACCTGTGAAGTAGCACTTTCCCTTTCTATATCGGACGTGGTTCTTATGATCTTGTTATTTAAGCTTTGTCTATCCCCTGAACATGAATATGTATGCATGTATTTTGTATGTGTTTAAATTTTAAGTGATATTTGGATTTCTGCTCAACATTTCAAGACATTGCTACTTTGGGGATGTATTTCCACAGTGATGTATTAAGGACAAAGGAAATAATGTGCATTTGGATACTTAAAATAATTAGAGGGTCTAAGTTTTTTAGACCCAAAAAACAAAATACCGGTGAGTTGCGCCATGATTATCCCTGATTCAGTTTCATTACCTTACAATGATGGGTCTCTTATCACTGATTATCAGCTTTACATAATGTTCCCTACCAGCTTGAAGGGGAAAGAATGCCATTAATAATAAAGGCGGGTTTTGTTTTGCACGTATTCGAAGGTATGGGCAAATCTGATGAGCAATTGTGTTGATTTCCTTTGGTTTTTCCCTCTGATGAGTTCTCAATGTGTGAAGCTTCTTTAGTTGCAAAAATCCCTGATCATTTAGCTACTAATACTTAGTATTGAGAATTTGTTCTGAAAATATTTTAGGGAACTTGATTGATACGACAGTGTTACTAATCTCTTGTGCAGAGCTTGGTGATTGCAGTTGGAAATAGGGCAGTAAATGGTGGCTAGCTGGGCATCGTTTTCCTTGGCACTTGGTCAACTATCTGACTGACAGCCAGAGAGTTCTCTATGTGCCTTCTCAGCATCATCTTTCCTTCAAAAGCATTATCTTGTACATAAATCTGTGTGTACAATATTGTCCTCAAACTGTAGTAGATCTGCTCTGATTTTTTCAATTCATCTTAATATTTAATGTTCTTGATGATTTAGGGCTAGAGAACTATAGTTTTGAGAATGCTTTCAGTTCCCTTGTTCTCCGACCTTGCTGTGTATAACTGTGTGGAGAACCTCTTCACAAACACCCTCTGCTTCAGGTGTGAGAACCCGACTAACGCCATCTTGGACCAATCTGTCCTGGGGACGGCTCTGACCTGGACAGTTCTGGAGCACAGCCCCTGCCAAACACACACACACACACACTTTCTTTTTAACTACACTCAAGTACATCCTTGGGGCAAAGATCAGCTCTGGAGATTGGACTATGATTCTCAAACATTTCCTCTTAGGTGGTTGCCCAGCCTCTAGGGCTATAAAAATCGGGTTTTACGGGGGGTGGGCTTCTGGACCTCTACTCATCTTGCAGCTGCCCAAGACACACATCTGTCCCTCAGTCCCCTTAATAAACCATTTCCTGTCAAGCTGAACTTGTTGGCCTTTTTCCTTGATCTTATGGCTGCTTTGGCCTTTGGAGGTTGTATTGCAAATACCTCCATTTCAGGAACACTAGCCCACCAAATCAGATTCTTCACAAATTAGAATCTGAAATCTGGAACTAGCAGCTACTGATGGTAGCCTGTAAACTACTAGGGAAATAATACTACAGATTCACTCACATTCACAGAGCAGAAGAGAAACTCTTACTTTTGAGGGGTCTCATGAGGTATATTGATTTGTTTAAATCTGATATTGGGCCTTGGAACAAAGGAGAGGAAGCAGATTTAAGCTTGCAGCATATTTCCATCAAGATGGAATCCCTGTTTTGTATGTTGGTTATCTGTTAATATTTTAGGCAGCCATGTACCAGCAGAAAAATTAAATTGAAAGTCTTCATGGCCTGTCATTCCCCAGCAAATTAGGAGTTTAGCTGTTAAAAACTGATGTGGGAAGCAAAGGCAGAAGAAAAATTATTAAATTTCCTTACTACCTAGAGCCCATTGACAAGTCCCTGAAATAGGCAGAGTGACTTTCCTCTAGGGACTCGGCTGCCTCCATGTTAATACTTTGCTAAGGGCAAAAGGCAATCCTAGCCCGACCCCCAGGATCCTGTAAGTCTACTTTGGAAACTTCTTTCGTCTCTAAAGCCCCCAAGATGCATGCTGGCAATCATCCCCCAAGCATATGGCCCACCGATGTACCTCTGAAGGGTCTCATGACTCAGGTTTTATGAGACAGTATTAAATGACCTTTCCCCAACAATAGCTAGCCCCTTCAAGGTCCTGGAAACCTTGCTTCCAAATTCCTTAGAGACTTAGGCTATCCCTAACCCCCTCCCAACTTGAAAGTATATAATGGGCCACTCCTCATCACCCCAGTACAGCTTCTTCTGCCCATGGGTCCTGTCCCGGGCTTTAAAAAAACACCTTTTTGCACCAAAGACATCTCAAGAATTTTTTCTTGGCTGTTAGCTCCGAACCGTGACATCTTTACTACATCAAAAACAACCCACTTATGTTTTTAGAAGGTATTTTCTCTCCCACTCACATTCTTCCTGATGGAAATAATTCCCCTATATATCTAATGTAGAAAGAAATGGAATTAGCTTTGGAAATAATTTTTTTTAAGTTCTAGATTTGAATATTGGAATTCAACACTTGAATTTGAATAACTAAAGGCTGCAGGTGTATTGCCTTTTTTTTGAAAAGCTAGAAATATTTTTTTTTTGGTCCCCGGTGACAGTGTGCAGAGAGGGAGCTCACCTCTTTAATGATGATGTTCTGATTATCAGTATTCACTGGGGCCCGTAGGGGAGACACATAGGTAATTAGTGAAATGGCACAATTCAAAAAGGGAACTGTGAGCCAATCATAAATGGAACTTAGAACTGGTTCCCTAGTGTCGTGACTGACATAATAAAAATAAACATTAAAAATGAACTGTTTCCCTAAAACTTCATAAAAGCGAGAAAGTGCTTGGGGAAGGGAACCTTGGAAAAATTAATCATCTAACATTTTTATGGCAAACAGTAGTTGCTGGTTTTTTTCACATCTGTCCCGGCTCTGCCACTATGTGGATGCAGGGCCGGGAGGTAGCTTGGGGTAAAGGTAAGAGCTAGCATTACAACACCTTCCCCGTTGGGCCAGCTTTCTTTCCTTTGACCCTACAGAAAACGTTCTATTACTTACCTACTACTTAAGCAAAATTAAATTGTCCTAGCACACATACCCATTCATCACCTTTAAGTGAGAACATGAATGTTGTCACTCGGATTTGCTGGGTTTTCTCTACTATGTAGATACATAGAGTTACGCACACAGCACTCCCCACCTAATTCTGTTCCCGCCTCTTCAGCTCATAGACTTTCACCTTTTCTCCCCTGTAAGGTTTCCAACATAGCAAAGGAGTCCAGTGGACTTTAATCTGGGCATTATCCTAGCTCAGTTTAAACAACATTAGAGAAAGGAAGGGATTTTGGTGT